CTGCAGGTGAAAATTAAGTTATCTACCATTCACATGATGTGCGTTTATAGGAGTTTGAATTGTAAAGCGTGAGGTATGGTATGAGTCTATGAAATACATATACTCTGGTGGTTAATATGAAAGGCGTAAAACTTAATATCTTTTCTAAAAAAGCAAGAAGTTATTTTTCTCCCTCTTAATTAATGATGCTTGAGACTGACAACAACCTCAATAAATACAAAATAAGTTTGAACATAACCTCGTTCGTAAATTTTTCGAGTTTTATGTATTCATTATAAATATCGCGGTACTTTAACTGGGAAAAGACACTTCGTGGTGATATTGTGACGGTTGCGAAATTTCCACTTTTGTGCAATATTCAACTCTCCTCAACACGACCGAGACTAAAAAGGAATAATATGGCGCTATATTGTCTACAAAATTAAAGCAGTAAGTATTCCAAAAATGGGTTTTGAATATTGGACACGCATTTCATCGCACGTTAAGAAGAAATATAAGGGTTCGCACTGTTCATCAAAAGAATTCCTTCTTCTACTTGAATGCATCTGTATTTTGACTACTGTATCGGTTTGTCAAGATTTGGTATAACAACTTGATATCCAGCCAAAAGGCAAAATAACAACGGTGATATCTACAGGGACACAGGTGAATAACGTAACTATCAAGAATTTTAAAATTTTTTAATACAATACTATAAGAACACTTGAAGATTCTAACTGCCTTGCGATTCGTCAAAACTCGCTAATTAAAATGCCATGAAAAGCGAAAAGCACTGGCGCATATTCAGTTATCCTTAAGCCATTTCATCCATTGCCCAACAAAAGCAGTCAACCGTTCTAAGTTGTTTTTAAGATTTCTCATAACCCAAATAGAATTGCAAAGGAAACTTCTACTTCATGCAGCTCACCATTTGTGCTGTTGCGGCTACCGATTGCAGTCATGTGTCCACTATGTTGATATTCACCTCATTAGTAGCATAAAGCATGGGTTCCTGACTAGCAGATGCAATGTGTTTGCAACTTTCTCTAAGTTTTCCTGCAAACTCTGCTTTAATTTCCTGCAAACTGCCAGTCACACTTCACTATATACTATTTCATAATTTTCTCTACTATGTGGTTTAAAAATAAAAGTCACATGAGCGAATTCCCGATTAACTGAATGAGAAAAATATTGTAATTTTTGCTGTGCCGTAAAAGATATTGCAAATAGTTTAAATTGTAAAATCAAACTTGACTAAATGCAAAGAAAATGCCAGCGTGAGCAAGCGAGAAATTTAGCCAAATATTCAATTAGAGATTGAATTTGGTGCCAGTAGAAGAAATGAAGTGACCATGAACTTTTTTAATGTAGGTCGGAAAGTAGTTACTCCGCACACTGTTCGGTGATGCTTAAAAGAAGAAAGAACATACTGTATATGTATAGAAAGGATATGTAAGCTCAAAGATAATCTTTTGCAAGTTAAATTAAACAAGTTATGATGAAGTCTTCCTTGAGTAGATGAATGTATCTTTGTGCACGACTAATCAATAAATAAGCCTTTAGGAAAGCTTTAAAGACCACAAAGACAAAAAATATTTATGTTCGCTAGTTGCTGTTGTAGGATAAAATCAATAGTTCAGAGCTCTTTTTAAAACCCCTTGTCCTTAAGAGAGCCAAGGTTAGTGCTGAATACTGTAGACTGCAGCATGTCATAAAAGTGAGACGATGACTGGTTTTTGACTGGTTGGTCCCGTAGCCAACTGGAATATAAATTTTCTACCAACCGAGGAAAATAATTTTTTATTCAGATCTTTGGAAATTTTCTTTTTATAAGGAATTTTTTTATGTGGTTTTAAGCCAGATTTTGTACAATAGTTTCATTAATTAATTATTTAATTAGTAAAGAGTTTAAGAGCGTTGATTACGATGTGGTATGTAGATGTGTAAAAAGTTCAATGCCCGGCCAAATTAGCTCCCGAAAATATTGAAAGTAAATAAAATTGAAAAGATGAAGACTATTTCAAAGATATTTTTTGTAAAAGAGCTATGCGTTACAGTCTTTTGAATTCAGAATATAAAATTCCATGTTCTCAGACGATTTTTGATTTTTTTTTTCGAAAAAATCCGTTCTGCATACCTGGGTTTGTAAAAAAAATCTTAAGGACTCAGACGCTACCTTGCATTTAACAACACAGACGAAGACATGAATTTCTTTCTATTCCATTCCGTTCCGATCGTTTAAAGTTCTGACGGGTCTTTCGCTTCTCCTCTTACTCTTTTTAAACTTACACACTTTTAAAAATGCGGAAAAGCCACTACACAAATTGTACTCTCAACCTAAAGTTGAAACTTCTTATAAAAATAGATCAGCTGTTCCAAAGTTAGAAAAAACTGAAGGTCCAGACCGAATATCGCTTTAGCGGCTACAAAAAGCCAATTATATAAATAATTATATTTTCTTTATTATTTATTATATTATTTTTATTTATTTATTATTTTTGGCCGAGCACCTTTTCCCATTTGTGGTTTAGCGTCTTGATGTTTTCCCAACAAATGCAGGGACCTACAGTTCATACTAAGCCGCTTACGAATGGCTGATAGTTTTTTGTGAGGAGCTTACTTCGTGTTACTGCCGATACGCAATAAGAAAATTTGCTTAATTTTTTATTTAAATTAATTTTCTATAACATTTAACTCTTAGTACACAGTGCTAATTACCCGGCCTTTTTGCTATATAAATATATATATATATATAGATATATTTATATACACAGTTTCCAATTTCCAAACGTGTTATGTTTCAACTATAATATAATGGATCACTTAACAACCGCATGACGGATTAGAATTTTTAAGTCCTAATACGAAAATATCAATTCAAACACGACCACTTTTGGTGCTTTAAGAGAAGGCTATGGTGAATATTACCGTGCAACTACCTAATACTATTTGAGAAGACTGTATTGACTACATATAAGACCTGTGCATCATCATCGTTCGTATCGCTCGTTTCATCTCAAATATTGTTGTAATTGAGGGATGTTCTCAAGAGCTGGCATGCTATGGTACGTTTTACGCTTGGACCTACACCTACATCCATATAAACTCACACAAAAACTGAAGGACCAGGACCGTTCACAGCGCAGTATATAAATCGCTTGGGTGCTTGAACAACACCATTGGTAGCCGATATTCTTCAGCAACGAGGGAGCTTCCTTAAATAATTGAAAGGAAGACATTTCACCCAAAAAGCTTACTGTCTGGAGCGCTTTCAAGTTCGGACCTGTGACTTAAAAATGACAACGGCGAGAGAATAACTGTAGATTCTGTTTTAACAAGATGGTGCTCTATGCCACACAGCTTGGGCGAACAGAAAGAAATTTCCCGTCCGCTTAGTCTTTTGTCTCTCTCGGTCGTTTGAATGTTGTAGCATTTCTAATATGCCAACGTTGATGCTTTTGAGAATTAAGTTACTTTTTTTATTGGTTTTTGCATTTTATTCATGTTTATTCTCGAAACCGCAAAAACGATAAGCTTATGCATGCTATAGACATGAGGCAAGGCAACGGATAAACATCTGTAGCGATTATTTAGCTGCCAAACCAATAAACTAATTATTTTTATTTCAAATCAAATCAGCTTTATTAATACAAACATTTATTTAAATTTGAGAAAATGGCTTTTCTGGATTTTCAATATTCATTCAACAGATATATAATATTTAGGCATGTGCTCTTGTGTGTATGCTGGCTAAAGTGTATAGGATGAAAAAGGTACCAACGAATGTTGTACACAGCAATGTAGTCTTAAAATATACAAATGTGTTTGTATGTGTGGAAGACTTAAAAATTGCAAAACACTTTTAAGAACTTCAAACTTTTTCTGAGATTCTTTTGCTGTTAATATTAAAGGACCCAAAAAACTTATTCAAACTTACTTACATCAAAATAAGACCATCTTAGAATTGTATTTAATTAATCTACTTTTTCACTTTCCCTCATTAATTTGAAATGACACAGTTATTTTTTAATCAACAAACAAATACAAAACTGTTTACATTTTCTTGAGTAAACCAACTTGTCAAGTGTCAAATAAACTTGTCAGCGCACAAACAAACACTGAAACAAACAAATTAGGAAAATCGAAATAAAGGAAAATGCAATAGAAGAAGACATTCAGAAAAACGCTCAACATTCCAATGTTACTTTTGTGACATCTTTCCTTTTTCGGTACCACACTTCAAAGGTTATTTTTGATTTATATATTCGATGCCGTTGAAATATTTTATTTTGGTCTTTGTTTTATGCTACACTAAATATATACATACGTATCTATATGCATCTAATTTATATATATATATATATATATATATATATATATATATTTATATATTTGTATATTCATATATTTATATATTTATATATTTATATATTTATATAAGTATATATTTATATATTTATTTAAGTATGCAATGTTATGCCAACTCGGTTGAAATTTTTTACATTTTAGCATTGGAAATGGTCACAGTAAGTTTACAAAAGTTGCGCGACGGGGCGTATGAGCAACATTCAGAAATTTCACAATGCGACCACACAACAGCCGGTCTAGCTTTCGTTTCTGCATGGATATTTTTTTATTTCCCCCAACTGTCAGCTGCTCACAGACACCTGCACACACAGAGAGACATATCTACTTTTGAGTATGCAAATGTGTGGCGGTGTAGGCGAAGGTAATGAGCAAGCAAGCACAACGTGGGGTAAATGCTGTGGCAGGAAACGGACTTTGCTAGTTGATGCCAGCTGTTGTTCTACATTATTTTGATTTGCTTTAAAGCCTGCATTTTTTTTGCTTACTGTATTTAATAGCCAAATATATGTTATTTAAATTTTATATCATTATTTTCCTTTTGAGCTGTGCGTTTTCGGATTATCCTGAGTTAACTTCCGCCATATGCAACCAGAATTTAACGCTTTGGTTTGCTGCCACATTATTATTTCGCATTTTTTCCTTTAATTTCTTACTTTCAATGAATACTTATTGTATTTTATATCTACACACACATTTGTTTCGATTCTCTACACCGAAATCAAAAGCAGTCTGCATTTCTTTTGTTCTTTTGTTTAACTTTCACTAATTGTGTGCACTTGAGTGTACATAAAACTCTTTTTTTATTTGGCATTCATATGTGCCTTTTTAATTTTCTTATTTCAACTCTCTTTCACATATTTTCTTCACTAAAAATCAATGCTTTGCTGTCAAATTTTCTTTTAATAACTTTTATTTATTCACTTGTACACTTCTTCAGCTTCCGTTGCTGACGTCTAGCGCCGTTGACAGTTGCACGTTCACTGATAACACACAGCATCCTTAACACATAGCTGAACTCTGAGCTCACGGCTGGCTGGAGCGCCTAAATGCTGGCAATGCTTCTGTGCTATTTTGTGGCAGCAACAGTCGTTTGCCGAATGACCGGTGAATATTTGAGCAGTGTCTCGCCAAAGTGTTGATGTACTTCCAGTTCAGTTATGCTAGTGTGTGTGTGTGTATGCTTGTGTGTAGGTTTTTGTATTCGTTTATATCGACTGCGTTCTCATGAGATGCAACGCGTGGTTATTGCCGATAGCGCTTACGAAGTTAGCGAAATGCTCTCCTTTACCGTCTGGTCTGCTTTACCGGTTGGTACACTCTCTCTCAAAAGCTGTGTTTAGTAAGGAAATGAGAAAACTCATCACAATCAACGGCTGAAGGATGCTGCGCGTTTGTGAAGAACAAATGTGTTGAGGAAAAATGAGAAAGCAGATATTGAGTAAGCTGTGGCGAAAATTGAGAGAGAGTGCTGTGCTAGAGAATTTTTAGGCAACATGTTGCTAGTAACAAAATAGAAAAAAAAATCTGCTATTTTCTAAAACAGGCGAATTGAATTCAAAACCGACATACACAAATGTAGGAAAAAAAAAATTAAATAAAAAATAAATAAATTCCCGTCGCTACTCTTCAAGGAATGTCAAGCTCTCCGAGCGTATTTCTGATATGAAATAAAAACTTCTCAGAAAATTGCATCAGGAAGTTGATGGCTTAAAATAAACCGTGAGTTTCTCCATTTGTTGACTAAATATGTAACCGATATTTTGGTCTGATAGAAAAAGAGTCTAGTAGTCGGATATTAATAGCCCTCCTTTTTTCAATGTTGTGTTTTCTTGCCCTTCTTCTTCTTAATTGGCGTAGACGATTATCACCAAGTTCCTAAAACCCCTTCAGTGGGTTTCCCAATTGATATCAGTCCTGCTCCTATTGGTTTGCTGTTATATGCCAATATCATCGAAAATCTTGTCATCGGAGTAAGCCAATGGTTACTTTTATAGAAGACTCTAAGCAGCTCTGCAGCTCTTATTATTCTCTCCAGCATCTACAGGCTCGGAGAAGTCCTTCCAAATTCCTACTGCACTTCTGGTGTTGTCTAGCGTCAGCTTGCACAGCCGTATAAGTTTTGCGGGGATAACAAATTCAGACATAGCGATATTCGTTCTGCCGAGGGCGGCTTTAAAATCGACGAAAAGGTGACGTGTGTCGATCCTCTTTTCACGCGTCTTTCTCAAGATTTGGCGCATTGTGAATATCTGGCCAATACTTACCAGGTCTGAAGCCTCACTGATAAGGTCCAATCAGTTTGTTGACTGTGGGTTTCAGTCTTTCACACTATGTGCTCGACAGGACCTTATAAGCGATGTGAAGAAGGCTTATCCCACGGTAGTTGGCGCGTACTATGGGATAGCACTTTTTATGGATTGGGCAGAGCACAATCGTCTGATGCAGGCACCTTGTCAGCTCGTCACCGCAATGTTTAAATAGTTCTGCCGGTAGGCCGTCAGTTTCCGCTGCTTTGTTATTTTTGAGCGGGCGATTGCTATTCGAACTTCTTCATAATCAGATAAAGGAACGTCTTTCCATCGTCATCGACTGGGATTTCGGGATCATCATTTCCAGATTCTCCATTTGCACTGCCATTCAGCAGGTTGAAGAAGTGTTCCCTCTATAAATTTAGTATATTCTGGTCATCGGAGGCTAGATCACCTCTTTGTGTCCTAAAAGAGTCTGCTTCGGTCTTGAAACCTTCCGTTAGTCGTCGTTTCTTCTCAAAGAATGAGCATTACCCTTGTCGGTCAGCATCTCAAGCTCTTCATACTCACTCATCTCGGTCTCTTTCTTTTTTGTCTGCAGATACGTCTTACTTCCCTCTTCATCTCTCGGTATCTATCCCATCCCGCACGTTTTGTGGTCGATCGCAAGGTTGCGCAGTAGGCAGTCTCTTTTCTCTATACTGCGACGTTACGAAATCCAAAAGTTTTGCTTGCAGCTGTACGTAGCGAGTTTGCGATGCCGCCTCACAAGTCCCGTATACCGACTTGCTGGTGACTGCTTTCAGAGAGCAAGAGTGCAGGTCGTGAAGGAAGTCGTTCGGCATTCTGTTGTGATTGCGGCTTTTCAACGTCGAACTTTCCTTGTGTTTGTTGACGGGCGTTCTTCGATACACAGAAGCGCATATTTTGTGCTGGAATCTAGTATTACAGACAACCATATTTCGGGCTCCGGCGATGTCAATCAGCCGCAACCCAGTAGAGGATGTTTCATTGTATGCGATAAAGAATCCGGTTGTCTGAACTTTCAATATCTAACGGCATGTATAGTTCATTATTAGCGATAATTTAAAGAACTGTGCGAGCACCAGGACTCGACATTATTATCTCTATCCTACCACAAGGCTAAATTGCGTTGTTTATGGGATCGCTATAATAGATTTTACTTGGATTTACTCTAATCCGCCGTTGTGCCATTTATGTATATCTGCTAAGGGAGTCAGTCAGGCACTCGTATTCACTGCATATAAGAGGTGGGTTCATGGCCTTAAAAATGATTTTAAAATTGTCTGCAGGAATCACCTTTCAATGAGAGGGTTTCTAATCTCTATTTTTTATTCTTATTTTCTTTTGAAAAAAATTGTATGTGGTTGATGACATATCTATATATTCATAAAGACTTCGATTTCACACGCATCCGAAAAAATGTTAGCTCCCAGAGTATACGTGATCTAAATACCGAAGTTGGGAGCTGCTTCAACCAATTGTTAAAGAATATTTTATGGCTACTCCCATGTGAGTGGCTGCCAAAAACTTATCACATTCGCGTGTGCTTTTCTTGTTAGTAAAGTAACAAAGATGTTGAAAAACTAACAAAATTCGACTCGACAAACGTTAAGCTCTTCCTTACTTTTGGTTTATGAAATATTTGGTTAGTCTCCACTTTATATGTTCTCGTAGTAGTTTTATTCAATCTATGAAAGGTTTCACACTAGAATAAATCTAGAAAAAGCCTAGAACTGCAATGTTTTGGACCAAAAGCCTGCTTTAACTTTCACATATATATGTATACATATATATACGTACACATATGACCTTTCACATTTTTAGCATGCAAAACTGCAACGTCGCTATGCCCACATTGCTTTATTTTATTTGGAATTTTAATTAGCATAAAATGCTTGTGAACATCATTGGCCATGCAAATAAATACCCCAGTAACTGACCCACTTCCGTTTAATGTCAATAATATGATGTCGGTATTAAATGTACTATACTTGTATGTCGCTGATGTTGCATATGAAAGTGTGAATATTTACATATGGAGGTAGCGCAGCATAAAATGCGTGAATATATTTCAAGATTTGTGTTATGACTTTAAAAAAGTATTACTGCAGAAAACACACTTAAACGAAATTTATGAGTAATTTTAAATTTTGAACAATTTTGTGTGATTAAACAATTAGAAATAAATATATAAAAACTAGGAGACCCTGTAGTACGAGGTGTGTTCAAAAAGTATAGCGAATTTTGAATTTCCGCGGGTTACGTATAATCGAATTTCGTTTTTTTTTTGTGGCGTTATGCGGGTACTCATGTCTGTCACTGATGCAGACAAGCTCGACAATTTTGACTGTTCACTTATTTGTTGACAGCTGCTTTGATGCACGTGTTTTGGATGGCCCTCGATTTTTACCTATTCAAAAATATGGATCAAAGAACGAGTATAAAATTTTGTGTGAAAAACGAAATTAAGTGCGGTGCGGATACTTTGGACCGAAGTAGCGTTTAGCGGTGCTACAGAACATTTTGAAGGCTGAGAAGATGTGAACGACGAAGAGCGTGCCATACGCCCGAGCACTTCAACAACCGACGAAAAAATTAATTGCAGGGGCGTGGTGCATCATGAGCTCTTGCCACGGGGTAAAACAGTCAATAAGGAATGTTACCTGCAAGTTATGCGCAATTTGCGCGAAGCAATCCGCCAGAAACGCCCGGATTTATGGAAGAACAAAAATTGGCTTTTGCACCACGATAACGCCCATGCTCACACATCGTTGCTTGTGCGTGACTTTTTGGCCAAAAACAACACACTAATGATGTCGCAGCCACCGTATTACTCAGATATTCATGAATAAATAAATAATTTTTGAAAAAACACAAGATTCGTGATATTTTTTGAACGCACCTCGTATGGTGGACGTTAAGTTCGAGAGAAAGGTTTAATAAAGAGCAATTCAAACGATTCAAGTGGCAGTTTGTTCCAGAAATGAGCTGAGAAATACTAAACGTTTTTATTACCAAAACTTAAATGAGCTACAAAATTAACAGAAAAAAAATGAACACCGTCAAAACAGTTTCGCATCTTGAATTATTTACACAGATAAAGGAATTTTCTGCTTTTCCGATGCATGCCAATAAGGACATCGTTATTTCAAACACGTTTTGGATATCATTGAACGCAATTGTCAAAATATTGCAATTTATAAATTTATCTATCAATTTCGAGTGTCTCAATTGTTTGCCAAACAATACGAACACAGTTAGATAATAGACAAGCGCCCTGCTATACTTGCAATGACATGCTATATATATATACAGATATATATATATATATATATATGTGTGTGTACAATGTATGTATAATACGTGAGTGTAAGAGTACTTCCTGCCGCCACTACTTTGTATGCCAATGCAATGACGGATCGCTTCCAGCAACTACAAACTACAGTGGCAGCATGACTTAGTGACATAGCCTCATCGAAAAGGGAATGAATAAATTCAAGTAACATTACAACTACACTTTTCCATGCAATTGTTTCCGTTACTCACTCTATGCTTAAAATGGCTCAATGCCGACGAAATGTCCTTTGTAGCAATTTGTATTCGTTGCATTTTCTTAATCAAATATTTTGATAGCAATTTCCGGAGTAAGAGCTCAAATACTGAATTGTAGCAGCACCAGCAGCACCAGCAGCAGCAGCGGTAGCAGCAGCAACGTGCACAACAGACGCTGTCATTGCCAATGACAGGATAACTGCAATTGTT